CAGCAATGTCTGCAGTCATTTTGTCAGGGTCTTTGGATCAGTCCGTCGGGATTTCCATGAGATTTTCCTTCTCTATATTCAATATCATAATTATACTGGTCTATCTTTCGATCCAACGTGCCAGTTGTCCCTCTGGGTTCTTTAATGATCTTAACCAGCGTAATGCAGCATGGTTCCCTCCGTGTTACACAGTAGTTCGTCTCTGGTCTAATCAGGACCATACTAAAGTAGGCCACCACATTTTCGTTTTCACACACTTTCTGAGACAACCTTAATCCAATTCCGACATTACCAGCATCACTATCCAGTATTTACGGAAGTGAGGGATTTCGAAGCTTTAATAGTGGAGCTGAGACCAATTTAGCTTTCATGCTGGCAAGAAACTGTACATTCGAACTACTGGCCATTTTTTCCCGTAGAAATTCTTTCCGAGAAACTTCAGCGATACAAGGCCTTTGTTATATAAAACTAGTTTATTCTTTCTTGATACAACTTTGTAATACACAGAATTTCCACACTCACTTTAAACTTAACAACCTTTATAACACACGCAATAAATCACTGTGATTCACACACTTCACTTACGGTGCCTAGTGTTTGCTTGACTCAGTTATCTCTATCTTCAATCTATCTGCATACCTATCTCTTCAATCCCGCTGGTTTTTCTCACCTGGCTTATATACTAAAAAGAGGGCATCTCGAATGCACTTGGGCATTCGCGCGATTTCTCGATAATTCATGATCCTTCGAGAAACTACGGTGCGCACGCTCCAAGCGTCTCGTGACTTCCGCTGTCTTAACAATACTTTTATGTTCACACGCTGACGATATATATATATCATTCAAAAAATATATATATATATCATTTTTTATCAAAAGCTCACAACATTGTTTAACAACTTGTATGACCTAAAAAATAAGTTATATAAAATACATAATAACAAATAAAGATTATCCATTACGAACTGATAATATGATAATTATGATGTAAGGAATTTATTGTATTACCACACCGTTAAGGTGTTTAGAACTTGCATGAAACGTTAGAGAAATTTACATTAATATAGTTAAATAAATATATATCATTTACTGTTTTATGGTAAAATATAGTTGTTTCCCAACAGCTATTCCCACAATGAATGTATGTCATTTCGCTATATAGTTTTAGAATTTATCGTTTGTTTATTGTTATCATAATACTTGTGTCTTCCTTATGACTTCAACAATATATAAATTGTTGATTAATTTCCAATATCTTAAGGATCGTTTAAACAACGTACAAATATATAGCTAACAATAAGTAATTCACTGAATATCTTAGATGTTCAACAAGTGCAGTATTGAAACATTGAAAGGGCCCTATAGAAAGTAAACAATTAACGATATCGGAACTCAAGTGGTTAAGATGTTTTAACCTACTTCAGTAATTGTAACCTGAGACCTTAGAAAAACAAATTAGAAATTTCAAGATGCAAAAACTTAGAGAATATTGTTGAACATAAAAAATATTCTCAAAACACTAGATAATATTTCTTCTTGGTTTAAAGTTTAACTTGTTTACAAGTCTGGATACATGTGGAGTTTGACCACGTGAATCTAAAGCACGTAATTAGAGCGAGGAGTTAAAACGACTGAAGTTCAAACTTTGACAAAGACTTCTGTTCTTCCAGTATTTTACAGTCTGAGATTAAAACGCCATCTTATTTTGAAAGACATCAGTTCCTAACGGCAGTTATACCAACGAAAAGTTTGAAAGGTAAGTATATTTTGTATTTTTGACAATTGAAAGATATTGTCTATTATTGAAGTATCTTAATTTTTTATATAAATCTTATTGTGTTGTAACTAAAGTTATAGATTATTGAATGTTAACTATGTTTAATCAGTTGGTCAATGTACAAACTATTTTGTTTGTTTTCTTGTTAAATACAAAACTATATAATAAGCTAGATTTAGTGTGTCCACCTCGGGTATCGAAACTCAAGTTTAACGTTATAGTTCATCATATTTACCACTGAACAACAATCTGTGGAAGGAATATTAGAGATTACTGAGTATTAAAATATTCAAATATTATTTCAGAAAAATCTACATTGAAACTTAATCAATATTAGGTAAAAATTACAATATTTAGTTTTTAAAACAAAGTACTTCAGTACAATAATTGTGGTTTAAAAATATTGGAGTTTGATTCATGGTTTTTTTATTACTGTTCTAGTAAAAACTGTGAGTGATACATTCTTACATCATATAACTTTGCTTATCACTATAACCAAAAACTTATAGCTTACATACGTGTAACATAAGAAGATCAAGGATCAATGTTAATCCTGTTATTGTTTTAATTTACATACGACAGGCAAGTTCTATCATTTCTATAAATTTAAATAACTTACCTTTGTTTTTATACATTAACTTAATCTAACCTTAACTAGGTTCTTAATGATAAACAGTGTTATCGTCTTATAAAACTTTTATGTACAAAACCCGGATGTCTAAAATAAAATTGAAATCAAAACTAAATGTTAATTGTAAGAAGTTCATGTCAGAGCTACTTTCAGTAAAACTTTTATATTTTGTAGTTGGTTTATATTACCTACTACAAAAGCTCTGTGTTTCCGTAATGTCTCCCAGTTTTTTATATTTCGTGAATTGTTTTGTATTACTCCTGTAAAATTTTTTATACAATGTTCTATATTTTTCAGTAAGAAGAAAAAAATGTCTTTAAAAATAATGACATTTGCCATTATTTGGTTTGTTTACTTGGTTGGTCCATGTTTTGGATCAGAGACCGTCCACAAACAATGTGAATAGACGTCAATGACCGGAATAGTTGCGTCCATCGACGTCCTAGTTTCTCTTTCCAAAGAAAACCTGAAAACCAGAGGTAAAAGTTCTCAGAAAGTTTATCTACAGGTGAAAATATCTTTTTTTACTGACTGTTAATATAAAGTTTATATAAAGGGGTAAATATTTTTATAACTGACTGTAACATAATATAACGTTTATGTAAAAGTGTAACTATGTTTTATTACTGACTGTCAACATAAGGTTTGGGACAACATGGAACCTATTTATCATTCATAAAGTTATCAAGCTTTTCCTTAAACTCACATAAATTTACTGACTTCACAACATCCGAGGGCAACCCATTCCAAAGGCCAACCACTCTGTTAGAAAGTAGAACTGAGGATTACTCCTACCTTGCCAATATTTATATTTGTGTCCCCTAGTCCTACTATTGTCACTATTAAGTTTGGAAAAAGAGTGATACATCAACACTATCAATTCACTTAACAATCTTAAACACCTCAATCAGATCCCCTTTAACTCTTCTTTCAACCCTTCTCTGAACGCTTTCCAACAATGGCTTGAGGGCCTGATCAACTATTACACTGTTGTTAGAGTTAATTATATTAGAGAACCTTATACATTATACTGTGAATGGCAAATATGTCAGTAGAAGCCTTGGTAAGATAATAAAAAGTGATTAAAAGAAAACGAAACTATGTTCATATTGAGACTTGTTGAATGATGGTATTAGTACATATGACGGATGTTCAATTGTACAAAATGAGTATTATTGTTGAATTCACCTGTATAATAACAGTATTGTTTAATATATGGAATTTCTGTTTATGAACTTTTTACAGTTCATTCTTTAAAATTTTTCTTCTTTTTCTGTTATTATCGGACAAGCGAAATTCATATTTGTAGTTGGAAATGAAACGTTAGTATTTTAAATTTACGAGAGTAATATTAAGTTTTAATTCGTGTTTATGAGCTAAAAACAAAATAAAATATTGTAAAAATGTTATTATTATAAAAGTTAAAATAATGAGTAAATAGATAAAGCATATAGTCCATGTTTGTAAATATTTACAGGGAGGAAAATGGTGACTATAGTTGTTTTAAAATAACAGATGTAACAATAAATAAATTGGTTTCATTGTTCTACTTAATATTTTCAGGATAATACCACCTTCACCAACAGTATAGTAAACACTTTACCAGATATATAATAACTTTTGTTATGTATTTAGGAGTCTATAAATATCTATAAAGTATACGAAGTTTAGTATTCTTTCTAAACTATTTACAATGATATATATATATGTATATTAACTTAAGGAATGATTATTACTGAACAAAAACTACGTTACACCTGTAGATGATTTACAGTTTTAACCAATTACTAAATGTATAGACAGTATCTGTAAATACCATTTAAAAAAGACAACAAATTATTTAGACATTTACATATATATATGTCGAACCTAACCTACCTAAGGTAAAGTTTATGTCTTTCTATCTAAAAACACAATATCTAATTCATCAAGAAACGGACCACACATGTCCCCCATCTTATTCTGGACCAACAGATTGTGCTGATGTTTTACTTAAGGGTCACCGTTCCAGTGGAGCGTACCGTATCTGACCCAAGTCATGGATGACTACAGAAAGCTTCTATGTTTACTGTGATATGGATACTGATGGAGGAGGCTGGACGGTAACGTTTATTATAGATAATATCATATAAACTATTATATGTAAAAACACGTGTAGTAAGTTTAAATATTACCATAAACTTACAAGTTCTTCATTTTCTGTATTTTAAGTAATCCAAGAAGAGAAAACCATGGAAATCCAAAGGACTACTTTTTCAAAACTTGGGCAGATTACAAAGAAGGATTTGGAGATCTTCAGAAGCAGTTCTGGCTAGGTAGGTTCTGATTATAATTTTTAAACAGATGCTGTTAAAGGCATAGGAGTTCTGGCTAGTCAGGCTGTGATTAGACTTTTGAATACCTTGTTTAGAGATACAAGTTATAGGATAAAAATTATTGTTACTTTAAGGATGATCTAACAATATGTAGTAAAGGCGTTAACAATTATTGTCTAGTCTGACAAAGTCTTTGTTTGATAACCAACAAGATTATTTTAATACTTAAACCTTTTTTTACTCTACGAAACGCTAGTTTGTTGTAACGTTTTAATCTTTGGTTTTGATATTTTGTTTGTAGTGATCTCCTTTATGTAACTGTGAAACACTTTGAAAATCTTCTTTCTTGAAGACAGTCTGATAAATGTTTATTTTAAAGTAATCCTACATGATTTAAACATTTCCCTTCATATATTATGAAGTACATTTTGAGTACAAACAAAACGTTTCATTATTAATATTTAGGAAACGATCGGATCTACGCTCTAGCAAATCGGGGAAACTACTCAGTTAGGTTTGGTTTAAAGGATAAAGACGGAAACGAGAGGTTCGCCATCTACCGGGAGTTTTGGATAGAAAACGAAGACTACCTGTATAGATTACATGTCAGTAATTACTCAGGTGACGCAGGTAATCAAAGTTCACTTTGTAATTTAATTTATTACTTTATCATTATTATGTTGAATACAACTCTTTCAATTTATTATTTCAAAACAATTTAGTAGAAATATTCTTATGACGAAAACTAGTTAAAATGTCTGATAATAAAGAACTTGTGATCAACTCTTTAATTTATAAACTTACGTCAGATTTAAACACTTTATCATTAGATCTTCTTTTCACTTGTGTACCATACGTACCGAAAGATAAAAGACATTAATTTGAAAACAAAAACAACTTAAATATAAAGAACACAGTAACGTTAGAGAAACGTTCTTCGTTTTTAACCTCATAATGTCACCAACGTTCATTATACCAACTATTGTAATTAAATATATACATAATCAGGTTGTCTATGATAAAACTAAATCAGTTAACAGGAAAAGTCATAAAAGCCAAATTTCATTGAGATGAAACCTTATAAGCCGTGAAACCTTATAAGTGTAGTGAGTGTTGGTATAATAAGCCTAAAGTAAAAACTTTGTGTAGGATCACCTAGCCTAGAGCAGTACGTAAAATTTATCATGAAAGTAAAAAATCGATTTCATTTTAAACTTATATCGTTTCTAAATCAAGGTATTTTATGTTATATTACCAACTTTTAAATAAACAAACAACGGAGACACTAAATTCAGAAATCATCAAATATTTTTCCAGTTTTGTTGTCAATACATTTCATTTCATATTTTCAATACATAGACTAACAACAATATACAAAATAAAATATAAAATAGGGGCCTTTCTTTTGTTCTTTCTCCAACGACGTATTCACGAGAGGCCTTTCGTTAATTCGTTCTCTAGCAACGATATTAAGTTATATTTTTGTTACTAGGCAACGTAACATAAAAGTCATTTTTGGAATGTAGTGTTACCAAAACGCATTAGCTTTTCTATATGTTAATGTAACTGATTTTTACCAATAATTATTTTATACATACGCCACGAATCCATTTCATGAATGATCGTAATTTTGATTACCTCACAAAATAATTTATCGACGTTTGACCTCCTCGACTGCACTTTTCTGCCTAGTTGTTGGTCAAGTGTGATATACTTATTTGATATTTTTTATGTTTGTTAATAAACATTGTATTACTGAAAGTATCCAGAAAGATAATTAAATTACTTTTAGTAATCACTGTCGAAAGCATTACTGTCTTGAGATTGTTTTGTACTTTATGTGTTACACTCTTAAGACTGTTTTGTACCTTATTTTTACTGTCCTAAGCTGTTTTGTACCTTATATATTACTGTCCTAAGATTGTTTTGTACAATGTGAATTACTATCCAAAGCTATTTTGTTCCTCGTTTGTTGCTGTCCTAAACTGTTTTGTACTTTACGTATCACTGTCCTAAGCTGTTTTTTTACCTTATCTATTACTGTCCTAATACACTATAACAGTGGTCCTATTCTCAATAACTGCAGTGATTACCTGTAGTAATTAGTGTCTATCTTGTACACCATAAGACACTATAAACCTACCTTACCTTTGTTGTAGGTGATACAGAATGGAACAGGGTGAACGTTTTTGTTAACAACACACTTTGGTTATTTTGGAATGTCTTTAATAACATGTCGATGTTATGATTTAAGTTTAAGGTATATTTTGTAGTAAGTTTTGGTCAACAGTATTGTATTATATCTCTTGTCTTACACTTTTATTTCCACACTCTGTAATGTGCTAAACCTTATGTGACCTACAAGTGTTTGTTATGTGTATCTTTGGTTCTGTATATTGAACAAATCATTATTAAATGATATTAAGCAAACATTTGACGTATTACACACATTTAAATTTATTTATTTCTTGATGTCCTATTACTGACGGACACCACAGAAGACGGGTTCAGTGGACACAATGAGTTTAGTTTTTCTACAAAAGATAAAGATAATGACATTTATGAAACAAGCTGTGCCCAAACCTTTAAAAAAGCTTGGTGGTATGACAAGTGTCATAGTTACAATCTTAATGGACTCTACCTGAACGGTGAACACGACAGTTATGCTGATGGTGTGGAATGGAGCACATGGAAAGGTCAGAAATACTCACTTCCACATGTGGAGATGAAGATACGACCCCCGTACTAAGACCCTTATAATATGTCAGGAACAACAAACCAATTGTATTTTATTATTTCACTTATAACAAATACGTCTTTGATGTTTAGAGACTGCTTTAATTATTTTGCTTCTAATAGTTACAAGATTAATAATTACAGGACTAATAAATTATATAAAATTATTTTATCTTAATAAATCTTGTGTTGTGAATGATAAAAGTAATAATTCAAAAATGTTTGAAAATGTAAGTTTAAGACTCATTGTGTATTAAAGTCAATTTAATAGTTAAGGTAATTCTATACCCAGGTTGTATATAGTAACCACATGACTCACACGTTACTGTCTTCTCTACGTGGATATAGTAATTCAACGTCACGTGGTAGCATGTGTTTCCATGATGTGTCGAAATAATCAAAGATCTCTACTTTCTGTTCAAATTTTAATTTATTTTTTTTAAGTTTTTATGTGTCTGTCGAACGGACACAATATCTATAAACCTTCAGTATAGCCATATCCTTGATAGCTATAACTTTTACAAGAACTGAATTAACAATCCTTACTTTGGCCTACAGATAAGTGTATAAAGCTGCGCAAGTAGGTATTAAATTTTATAAATTTGTGATTGTGATTTTAATTCTTATTTCATTACTATTTCTAGCAGGATCCTACTTCATTTTAAAATTCATAAGTTTTTAATACTCTTGTTTTTTCACTATTTATGTTATACCTGTATAAAGTATATACTTTACCTCTAGAAAATGTCGCTTGTCTACATCTCGATATGTAACGCCATCAGTTGGATTGAACTGGATTCAAATGGTATTTAAGTACCTGCATGATATACTTACCATTTATAAAAACATCTGTATATATTTACCAGTATATAAAAAGCGGATACTCATAGACCAGTCAAGTAAGCTTTTAGTGATAGTCCGAGTCGTCAAGGGGCTAGCCCCGCTGACGTGATCAGGTACGTAGCAGGGGTAAAAAAGTTGCTGTTTTAGAAATGTTTGAATTGTTTTACTGGAAATGATAGTGATGTTTCTCAGCGTATTATTATTAAATATTACCGTACTTAATGATTATTGTTCTCGTTAACAAGATTTATTGTACTGTTATCATTCTTGTTAAGTGAAGTGGATGAAAGATTTTAAAACGAACTGTTTGTTGTTTAAGGTAAAGTTACTGATGCAGATCATTTAAAAGACAGTTTAACTAAGCTAACTATCAGTAAAAAACGTAACATTCTGCATTTGTGATATGTCTGGACGTAGTTGATAAGACAATAATTTATTCAACGTTTACAGTTCTATATTTACACAATAATATGTTATGAGTTGGTGTACATTGTGAAATAATACAGACAATATATCAAACTCTACGAGTGTACTAAATCATCTATATAATCAAGTATTGTTTTAAAACCTTACCTACATCTCCTGTGTAACATTTAACATGTAGATGAGAGTGGAAGTCTTCCCTGTCTGTCTTAAACTCCCGAGAGAGGAAAAACTGTTTTCATCTTCTTTGTCAGTCAGATCAAATCTAATTGAATAAGTTATTTGGTTCGTTATAGTAACAAATCCAGTATTTTCCTAAGAAAATACGTTATTTTAATTACTTTTGTTTGTCAAATTATTATCACAACAAATCAGTTGGCCAATTAATTAACACCAAAAATATTAAATGTCATAATTATATACAAAATTAAAATTTGGTGATTAAAATTAACAATATTTATAAAGGATTTCTGTTTCTTCAGGTGGACAGAGTGAAAGGTTAAAATTTTAATATTTATTATATATGATATTATATACATATTTTACATCTTTTACTTCTATTATAGTTACATACAAGTGACAGTAGAAACTTGTTATTCTACTATATCATCATACCCAGCCAGAAATTTTTCTCTATGTCTCTAAACCCCATTTTGTATTCTTGCCACGATTTATAGAAGTAATCTGTGGGGTTTCCATAATCCTCCCTTTGGGGATCACCTACAGAGTCACGAAATTTAATTATGAGTTTCTTTATTTGTCCTACTACATTAGAAATGAGTGGAAATAACCAATATATCTGAATGAAGTTTAATCCTAGTTGTATGAGGTTACAAAGCATTTCTAAGTTAATCACTGAGTTATAAACCACTAATTGAACTTTATTGAGGTTTACTAAATAGAACCAGGATTCTCGATAATACATAATATATTTGTGTGTAGTCGCCTCGTGCTCAGAGTGATGGTGTCAGACAAGGTCGAGTAATTAGAGAAGAAGAAAAAAACACTGACGCCAAAGATGATGTTCCTTTAAGCAAAACCAGATTTCTAAGAATCTGATCATATGTAGTGTAAACAAAATTCCCTGTTGACCAATGTTAAATATAAATGTTGAACTACAGTGAAATAACATCAGTATTGTAGCAGTTCTTCCTCTACTATTTAATAAAGGTAAGTGTAAGAAATGTTAAAAACATTAAGCGTTATAATTTTAAAACAAAATTTAAAGGCAGACTTAAAAAATTATCACGGAATGGACTAGAATCCTTAATCTTTATTCAATAATATATTAATATTGACATAATATGATAGTAGAGATGTCTGTGGAAGGTTATTTTAATTTTTTCTTGTTTATTATTAGAAATACTCATTTAACTCAGAGAAAGAAACACAAATATAATATTTGAAAGATAAGACTAGTTACAAATAGTAGTTTTTGGATAAAACTTTTTTTAGTAGTGTCCTGATAAAAGTGAAGTTTATTGATAGTAAGAATCAATATATCGATAGATAAACAAGTATGATTATGATACAAAGTAACCTATCAGTTGTTTTTCAAGATGATCTCAGAAATGACAAAATTTAACGGATTTCGTTGTATGTGAATAACATTTTTTCCAGACAATGATACATCAAATTTACCAAATGATGATCAGTATCAAACCTGTGATGATTCTTCTTCTGGTTCATCAGACCTGTCAGCTAGAGACGAACTTCGAGCGATGTCAATTGACAACAGTATCAACTATACTGGATTCAATCATTCTACTAGTTACACAAGCTAAACAGAAAATACACAGCGATGGTAAGTTATTGTTTACATTACTTGTCTCTTAAAATATAAAACATATAAATACTGGAACATGAATAATTTAGTTTAGAATGTTTGGTAACCCAAAATTTATATTAATGTTTTAATTACAGAAAAAATACTTCAGTTAAGATTTATTTATTTTTATTTTGTCAGGTGTCTAGGATTATTTTGTAAACATATTTGATTATTATTTCTTTTTGAACTTACGTAAATTCCATTTCTTATTTCACAAGAACTGGAATGTCTTCCAAACTCTCCTGGACCAATAGACTGTGCAGATGTTTTCCTTAATGGACACCGTAGTAGTGGAGTGTACCGTATCTGGCCCAAGTCATGGATAATTACAGGAAGTGTTGATGTTTATTGTGATATGGACACTGATGGAGGAGGCTGGACAGTAAGTAGAAAACGGAAATAATTAAAACTCGTGTTTTGTTAAGATGATTATTTTTTCGTCATGGTTTACAACGAATGTCTGTATATTATATAACATCGGTAAACAAAGATGGAGATAGTGATATAAACCAAATATTTGGTAGAGATATTCCTATCATGAATTGAAGTGTTTCCTATAAAAGGATACCGTCTTTAAGCAGTTTCTGTTACTTCTCGTCGTTTTGTTGAAATAACTAAAAATGGAATTTTAACATTTTTCTAGACTAGAAAACTATATTCTCTTTTGAGGGAAATAAAAAACTAAGGAAATATCAAGGAAGATCAAGAAATTTTATTATCAAAGTTTTTCTTAGTTTATAATAGCTTAAGGAAAGGACGTATTGTGACGAGACGTAAATCTTTAATAAGAGGAACATTTTGAGAATATTACTTCACTGTTTGTTGGTCAGTTACTTAGTAAAGGAAACTGGGAATATAATTTTTTTGGGTCGATGATGGTCAATAAAAATTTGAGACTACTATTACTACTGTTTATTAGTTTAAGTTTCTCAATGCAACCGAGGATACAGGTTTCGATTATATTGTTTATTTCATTCCTACAGTGTAAAAATAAAACAATAAAGTTCAAAGTTCATTTTAAGAATTTTTCTGATTTTTAAATCACTCCAGTTAGATCTATATAAACATGTTCTCTTGACTCTGTAGGTGATCCAGAGACGAGGGGATTATGGAAGCCCCACAGATTACTTCTACAATTCCTGGCAAGAATACAAAATGGGGTTTGGGGACATAGAGAAAGATTTCTGGTTGGGTATGATGATATAGTAGCATAAACAGTTTCTACTGTTACTTGTATGTAACTATAATAGAAGTAAATGATGTAAGATATGTATATAATATCACATGTGATAAATATTAAAATGTTAGCTTTCACTCTGTTCACTTAAAGAAACTGAAGTCCTTGATAAATGTTGGTAGTTTTTATTCACAAAATTTTAATTTTCTAACTAATTATGACAGTTATTATTGTTGATTTTAATTAATTGGCTTTTTAATTTTGCAATGATAATTTGGAAACAAAATTAATTAAAGTATCTTATTTTCTTAGGAAATTACTGGATTTTTACTTTAACGAACCAAGGAACTTATTCAATCAGATTTGATCTGAGAGACAAAGAAAATGAAACACGGTTCGCCCTCTATCGGGAGTTTAGGATAGACAGTGAAGACCTGTACTATCGTCTACATGTTAAAGGTTACACAGGAGATGCAGGTAAGGTTTATAACAATACTGATCAATGAACTTGATTATATAGATGGCCAGTAGAACACTCTCAGGGTTGTATATATTTTCTGTATTATTTGACAACGTACACTATCTTATAACATACTATAGTGTAAATATAGACCTGTAAACGTTTAATAAATTATTGTATTATCAACTACGTCCAGACATATCACAGATAACAGAATGTCACATTTCTACTGATAGTTAGCTTAGTTAAACTGTCTTTTAACTCATTTGCATCTATAAATTTATTCTAAGCAGTAAAGAATTCGTTTTTACAATATTTCATCCATGTGCATTACAACCAAGTTCGAACTTCAGCCAACAGTGATGTTAAAACTACAATGAATTGTGTTAACAATAACAGTATTATTAATAAACTGTAAGCTGTTTGTGTTGATTTAGTTCTCCAACTCTTTTGTTACAAAAGAAAAAAAAATATCGTTTTTGTTGTTGATATATCTAGAAGAATATCGTTTGAAATAAAAACAATCACACTTTATTTCCTCAAACATAAATAGCACATAAATAAAAAGAACACTATGTGTCATTAGAAACACCGCCCTCTGTATTATTAACATTATTGACCTCAACACTGTAGAAGTAAAATACATATTTAACGTTATAAGTTATAACTTTCTTTTACTTTTTAAACAACTAAATATCGATTCCTGATTATTAGCTGATAATGATGGTAAATGAAGAATGAAAGTGGAACAAACTTATAAAAACTTGTGAAAAACACGCGCCCTATAACGAAACTCATAACTTATCAAAAGCATATAATTATTGGTTTGGATAACTTTAATAGACTGTTTGTTGAAAGAAAAGGAAATTACATTCTATTAAAATTTCAAACCTACTTTGTCTGCCCTAAATTCCCATGAAATAACATAACATTGTTGTTTTATTTTTTGTTGGGGAAATTATATTTCAGGAGGTTAATTATTATGTTATTGATAAAGTTTTAATTAATTATCGTTCTTTTACCAATGTTAACTGTTTATAGAATGTTATATATAATTTGTAATATTTTATGCTAAAGATAACCCATAGTTAAAAACTTTTATTGTCTTAACCAAGGGGACAGTATGACAAATCACAACGGGTTAAATTTCTCCACCAAGGATAGTGACCACGACACGTATTCTGGTAGTTGTGTAGAGTCATATAAAGGAGGATGGTGGTATGGAAAATGTCATTCTTCTAACTTAAATGGACTTTATCTGAATGGACAACACGAGAGCTACGCTAATGGTGTGAACTGGAAAACATGGAAAGGTTATCATTACTCTCTCCCGGAAGTGTCAATGAAAATACGACCCCTTAACTTTGAGATTCCGATAAATAACAGTAACATTCCAATGTAAAATACAATTTTGTTATCTTTTAAAACCACGATTTCTATTTAATGGATAAAATTAACATTAATTTGTTGGAAGTTTCTGATTATGGACAAATTGTGATCAGAAAGTTGGTAAATCGTGATGAGAAAATGAATAAATTTTAGTTAAATTTGATTATATTAAGGAATAGTTACTGTTGGAGAACATAGGAGGTTTAATGTTTAGATTCTATTTGTATTCATTTATGCAAAATGTTTTATTTTAAATTATTTTAGAAACAGACATTGTTTTATCATTTATGAAATATATGATAATTTTCTATTTACTTGACTCATTGTTCCATATTTTGTATTTTTACTAGTTGCGAGTTTAATATTCTCATAATGATAAATCTAAGTTCAGAATGAACAAAGCTAGAGAAACACACTTTGTGTTAATAACTTTATACTCAACTTGATCGTGTTTCCGTGATTTATTTTGTGTTTGTTCTATCTTAAAAACTATGACCAGATAAACACATAGTTATAAATTATTCTATTTTATGTTAAGTCACATCTACTGTATTCGATTGTTTGTTTGTTTGGAATTAAGTATAGAGCTACACAATGGGCTATCTGTGCTCTGCCCACCACAGGTATGGAAACCAGGTTTCTAGCATCGTAAGTCCGCAGACATACCGCTGCCCCACTGGGGGCGCCATATTCGATTAGAAATATGTTAATAATTATCTGTAGGATCAGAATAGCAAACACTTAAATACAAGTTAAGTCTGAACATGAATGAATGCCACATTTTCTGGATAACTCGGTTCATAGTCAAATTAAATCAAATTATTGTCATTAACAATTTTAATGACACTGTGTATCATTGAACAAAATTTCCTATTTATTAAAAACTCACCTAAAACAACATTAAAAATACACAATAATCTAAAATTGTTGAAGGCTTTACTAAAAATCTTCATGTTTTGGTTGGTCACAGACCTACTGTCATCAGCATTGAGACAAATAACTTAACCAATCATTTGACATTCATGTTAGTAGTTATCCTTGTACTTTACATTCCAAAGGACGCCGCCTCAGTTGGGGTCGACAGGCAATAGGTTCTACATATTTTCAGAAAGTTTCGCCAGAGGGCGCGATGCTAGGCCGCCATGACATCATATACGATCACGTAATAGTTCCATGAAGTGGAGCTAGAGGATGTGTTGCCAGAGTGGCATGACAGGTGGCCATGATATAATATATCCACGAAGTAGAACCAGAGGGCGCGGATATATTAGGAAGTAGTGATATCATTGTTCGATACCAGAAGGCCTGTTACTATAGACAGATTGTGACGGCTCAACGTGTTTCAACATGACTATACCAATTATATTAAAATCATTCTAGAAGGACGTTTATTTAAATATCATGCAATAATTAAAACTTATTATCTATTATTAGTGATTATTTCAAAGATTTTAAGTAACATGATTATAATAAGAAAATTCTGGGCACAATATTACCTTTTAACAATTTGTTAATTTTCTCACAATAAAGATTTTGAACGACATAAAATAACATCTATTAAGGACGTATTTATATGAAAACGTTTTACAACAAAATCATGAACAAACATATCATTAGTATCTTTGTGGGATCCAAATTTAGATAGTAGTTTCGGTTTTGACACATGTTAAAAATGATAATAACCGTAATATGTACAATATAAGTCCTTACAGTACATTTTGTTGTAAGTCCACGTTCAACATTTCTTCTTGATGTTTTATTTATGTTGAGAGTATGTGGAGCCAGTCCTAATGGATCAAAATATTATCCTTTTTCATTTCGACCAAAGTAAGTACCCGCCATGACATCATATACGATAACGTAATAGTTCCACGAGTGGAGCTAGAGGATGTGTTGTTAGGCTGGCATAACAGATGGCCATGATGTAATATTTCTATAGTAAATACAGACCCAGTGGCTGCAAGATTTATGAATCGGATCCAGGTTAACGATGCATAATTGTTTTTCTACATGGTCAGGTAGTTGATCACTGGCAAACACACCTCCAACCCTCTTTCGTGTACACAAATCGTGTGAAAATATCAAATAAATTTCTCTTGTGTTCTTAACTTCTTAGATATCAATTATGATGTTTCAATTTCTAAAATAGACTGAAATTCGGCACATGCTAGAACATTTATAGTGCTGGGTAAGGCACTATTAAAACGTTTTTCAATTCGTAAGTTTCACAAAGTAAATAGAAATTATCCAACATATAGACCTGATGTAAGATCAAAGGCAAAGAGTGTATATCTTCTTAAGTATTCGTTATATCCTACATTAATTCCTTGATCTTGAAACTGTTTTCCAGTTACACTAAATAACAGCTTCAAAATCTGGTTGAAAAGGTCGAGCAGAAATCTACTTTTTGTTCTTCTTCTTTCTTTTCCCGTTCTTCATGGCTGGAAGGAGAACGTGTAGTTTCACTGGTTCTAAAGTCATACAGAATGTGTGTGAATGAAATTAATAAAATAAAATAACTATATTCACGTTTCAGTTTTTTGTTCTTCTTCACATATCTGTACATATATATATCTAATTTACAATTTAATATCTATAGCCCTTAAATTGACACTATATATAATATCAAATAATATCACATTAGCTGCGGACAATAAACTACATTCATGCAAAAAAAAATAATTTATTTACATTTCAGTTATATTTATTTTGTTATTATCTTTATGAAATGGATGTACTTATTATTAAGTATTGTTACTTTCAAAAGTTATTATATTATATACAAAACATGCTATTCAGACACAAGTCAATGATACCAATATTAAAAAGTAAAATACAGCGTTTATCAGAAAAGTTTTCTTCACATATAAGTCATACAATTACATAGATAAAAAAAAAAATGTAATTCATCAGAAAACTCTACGTGGAAACAATTCCAGTGATACATGTAATGCTTTCAAAACAGATCACAGACACCAAATCAACAAAGTAAAAATATAAAACATTGAGACCCTGACAATTTTGTTTTTAAAAATATTGTTTTACAAGATGTCACATCTTATATGTCTACAAAACAATATTTTTAATAAAGAAAATTTCGATGACAGTAGACTTTGTATTATATAAATTGACTGAAGTTATTAAAACATTTTATGTAAATCAATATTGTTTATGTTGTTACGGGAGGCATGTGACGCTGGAAGCATGCGCGCTGGAATTTCTAGAAGGATCATGACTGTACCTGGCAACTCTAGTCTTTTCTAGGTGCCCTCTATTTTAATATATAAGCCCGGCAAATAA